AAAATCGGGTAAGCATGGTGTCTTGGCCCTAAAATTAGATATCCCAAAAGCTTATGATTGTGTTGACCGGCATTGCTTGGAAAACATCCTACAAGCTCATGGTTTCTGTGAAAAATAGATCCATATGATTATGCAATGTGTGACCACAGTTCATACACGGTGGGAATCAATGGTAACCAAACTCCTTTTTTCCATCCTCAACGAGGTCTTAGACAAGGAAACCTGTTATCCCCATATCTTTATCTCTTTATTGCTGATGTCTTATCTCGTTTATTAATGGCAGCAATAGAAGACAAGAAGCTTTCGGGTTACCGGATAAGAAGAAGAAGCCCTAACATTAACCACCTCCTTATTGTTGATGATTCCTTGATTTTGTGTTGAGCTACTTTAGAGGAGGTGAGCCATTTACAAGCAATTTTACAACTTTATGGGGATATTACAGGACAAAGAGTCAACTTTTCCAAATCTGCTACTATATTTAGTCCCAATGCAACAAATGAAACTAGGAAACTTATCTATGATGGCTTGGAATTAAAAAGTACTTTGTAGTATCCAAATATCTTGGCCTGCTAACTTCTTGGGGAAGATCTAAAAAAGAGAGTCTAAAATATGTTGCAGATAAAGTACAAAATAAACTTGCTCATTGGAAGAAAAATATGTTATCACAAGCAAGCCAGGAGGTTCTAATTAGAGATGTAGCTATGGCCATTCCTACTTTCACCATGTCTTGTTTTTTGTTTCCTGAAGGAGTATGCACAGAAATCAATAGAATCATCAGAGAGTTTTGGTGGGCACAAAAGAATGAAGAAAAGAAAGTGTGTTGGGTTAGCTAGAAAAGGCTATCTAAAAGCAAGCATGCAAGAGGTATGGGTTTTAAAGATCTTTACTATTTCAATATTGCTATGCTGGCCCAACAAGCTTGGCGAATCTTACAAAATCCTAATGCTTTATGGGTCCAAGTATTAAAGAGTTTATATTTCTCAAACTCTTTTTTCTCTGAGGCCAAGAAAAGGAGCCACCCTTCATGGATGTGGTCGAGCATATTGAAAGGAAGGGACATTATCCAAATTGGTACAAGATGGAACGTTGGAAATGGCCAAAACATTCTAATTTATCAAGACAAGTGGATCCCCACCATGCTAGGATTTCAAGTAATTACACTCTCAGATACTAATCCCCTATATTCTTATGTGCGTGAGCTCCTAGATGATCAGGGGGATTGGGATATTACTAAGTTAAATTCTTGCTTTAGTAATGAGGAATGTCGAGAAATCCTTAAAATTCCTATGTGGGAATGCTCTGATCAACTTGTTTGGCATCCTGATAAATATGGAAAATTCACTGTTAAAAGTGCGAATCTTCTTACTCTTCAAGTTTTTGATGAATCTAGCACACATACTGATAATACAATCCTTTCTTCAAGGGAATGGAAACAATTGTGGAAAATGAAAGTTCCTCCTAAAGTTCGAGTCTTTGTATGGAGAGCCATACTTAATGCTTTACCTTCCATGGATAATTTGATGCAAAGGGGAATTACACAAACAGCATTATGTCCTTGCTGTCACCAAATGGATGAATCCTTGATGCATTTCCTCTTTCACTGCCCTCATGTAGAACCAATTTGGTTTGGTTCAGCCGTGGGTCTTAACCCTCGGCAGCTGGGGGTGAATTGTTTTGTGGATTGGTGGAGGTAAATTCAAAATATTGCCAAACAAATGAGATCTTCCTCCTTGGTAGAATACTGTGCTATAATTTGTTGGCATATATGGACGATGAGAAACGAAAAAATATTTGAAAATGCTGAAATTTCCCCTCAACAGGTCCTTGCTCGAATCCAGTGCACGAATCAAAGAGTATTCGTCACCCAATAGCACTGAATTATTAGCTGCCCCATCCAGATCTCAGCCTGCGGAAGGTAAGAATCAAACAATATGGACCAAACCTCCGTTTGGCACCTACAAAGTCAACACAGACGCCTCCTTTTCCCCAAGCTTGGGAACTGCAGCTTTAGCAATGGTTGCACGGGACTCAAATGGCTGCATTTGTTTTGGCATGACTTGGTCCTGTATGGCTTTATCCGCACTCATGGCTGAGGCTGCTGCTCTCCTCCAAGCTGTCAAATTCGTAAAAGACATGGGACTACAAGGGACTACAAGAAGTCATATTTGAGTCTGACAGCCAAACTGTAATATCAGGCATTCAGCAGCCCACTAAACCTTTGCCATGGGAAGTTAAATCCCTTCTTATGAATATTAGGAAATTATGTGATAGCCATCCTGGATTTAAGTTCTCTTTTGTTCCAAGAGATGGCAATAGGGTAGCAGATTGGGTTGTTCGGTCATCACTTCAAGGCAAATGCCCTCTCTTCTGGACGCATAGACCTCCTGAAACTCTACTTACTCTACTATCTAAAGATGTTAATCATACTTAATTATATATAAAATTTCCACTTTCTCCCAAAAAAAGCCTAAAAATAAACTTTTGCCCTCGGATTCAGGGTAAGGATGGGTGGTTCAACACCGGCTTTGATATTTGTGCATTCTTTGGTTATTTTATCAGAAGTATTATTTATTTATTTATGTGGCATACGATTTGGACGTACTTGTCCTAAACACACAAATCCGACTGCTCTCCTCATGACTGACATAGAGTGACTGCAAGTGACATACAAAGTAGAATCATTCATAATGTTTCTAATCTAGTTTCAAATTGCACTTCAAAGTTTTTTTTTTTTTTGATGAATACTTGCACTTCAAAGTAGGAATGGTGGTTATACTTAAGTAACTTGGTGGGATGTGAAATACAAATTTTTTTTTTCTTTTTCTTTTTCTTTTTCATGGTGGTAGCCAAAAAGTTTTCCATCATTCACATTTAGATTAAAGAAATTATATTTTTATCAACTATATGTTGATAAAAGTGAAAAATAATTTGATTTGCTTTAAAAAATATCTTAAATTCAAGTTTTATAAATAAAAATAAATAAAATTTGTAAGAGCTTTTTACTTACAAAATTTGACACAGTTTGACTTCACGTTAAATGAAAATCAATATAATTTTTAAATATCAAGAGTTAATAAAAAAAAATCTTTTTGTCAAAAGACATAGGTCATGGTGCAATTCAATCAAATTATTCGTAAATATGATTTTTGAATTTAATTTCATTTTGCTTGAAAATTTTAGTTAGATTATTATTTTTGGTATTAAAAACTAATTAAAACTGTGATATGTTCGTTACTATATGATTAATTAATGGACTGGCTCCCGTGGTCTCCAAATCTACTAAGCCACACGATTCTTTGGGTTGGATTTGGGTCTTGGATTTGGGTCCAAATAAGCTAATGGGTTTTATTTTGTGCTGAAATGGACCACGTACTTGCTAACCCACTGGACGCATTCTTTTTCACTTAACTACAAAAAAGAACAAACTTTGAAATTTGAATAGCAATTTCTTTTTTCTTTTTTCTTCTTTTTTTTACAACAAGAGAGGTAATTCTATCTTGTCTTTCAACTTATCTCACCTTGCATATCATACAATTTAAATTTAAAATTTATTATTTAAAAAAATATATTATTATTAAACTACATAAATTGTTAATAAGATAAAACTTATCTTACTAAATTCAAAACAGTCCCAACAATAGTTCGTTTGAGTTTATACCCATTCATTTAGATATTTTAATTTAGGATTAAAATTAGAGTTTCAAAGCAGGTATAATTATAAATAATTCAAGGGACATTTTCTGCTTCAAAAACATTAAAAACCAAAATATAGGACCATCTTACTAATCAGCTTTCAAAGACAGCTTCTTGATAGAGAGATAAAACATTATCTGCAGTTGCAGATTTCTTTAAAAAATAATGATAAATAAAATCAAAATTTAAGATCAAA